TGAAATTGTATTTTTTGGATGTTAACACAATTACTAGTCTGATAACAATGATCCAGTTCACAATGTCAACCACTGAATCATCATATACCGATTCAGTGGCCAAATCACCAACAGTTGCTTCACTTTCCTTCATTACCATCAGTCTGCTGACAATTCTTATGCTATGTCTTACAGTAGTATTTAATTAATCGGCTTTTCCCCTGCAGGGAATCGAACTTGGATGACAAAATCAAAGCAATATTTTCACTTGAGAAATTAGTCGTATTGCGCATTTTGAAACGATTCGACACTCCGCGCAAAGCAATGAATATAATGCATGAGGAACATGCAGAAAATTTGAAAGCAAATGCTATTAAAATGTTAAAGTTACAGGTTACAGAAGATTGTGAAATTCATATTTTTTAAATTTTAAAAGACTTAAAAGTCATCAAAAAAATAAAACTGAAGGAAAGTTCCGTGAATGATGTGATAACTTGCAAGTAAATGTAGGAAAGTAAAATTGAAGTAGGTGACAGAAATAACTGTACAGGGCGTGTCGTTAACCGCAGCGGCTATGGAAACGATCTCCGAGAAATATTCAAATTCATTAAAATATTTATGCCTTATGGGTGCGCTTGTACATACACCCGATGGCGCAATATATCTGAAAGCGCTGTGTAAGTTAGAATTAAATAATGCATGTCAGTTATCAAACTGATAATAGTGAGAGGAGGAGAACCGGTGTTAACAGGTATACACCTGCCGTAATCCAACTGACTTCCTCATCTCGTAAACACCGTTCAATTAAATCTTGCATATTTTGATAGTTTGCATGTGCAATGCTAAATATTACCAAGCATTGCACACAATTAACAATTATGCACGAATAACTAAAAGTTAATCAGTGCAATTTAATTTTAAGGTAATTTGAGATGTTTGTGCAAACTGACATTACCGCCCTCACTTCTGTCACTGAGCAGTAAACCATTATATCAGGAATGTCGAATGTTGCAACAAATCACCGTCAAATATCTCTGCGTGTATGTTTATGAATCAGAAATTGTTGAAACACGATATTTTGTCAAGAAATTACTACCGCCTACGCTGAAAGAATTATGCTTACACGATCCGACTCATATGGTAGCCAGAGATTTAAAAAATGATGAATTTCGAAAATTACATTTCAAGGTAATTTTTCCAAATCATAAAATTTTATGACTCCATATTTTACATGAATACAAGTAATAAATTACAATTTATTGAAGAAAAAACACTAACATTCAATGCATAAACGTAATTTGTATCAAAAATTATTCAAATTTTAGTATTTTCATTGCAGGTGACATTTTGTAAACGAACAGATTCACTGTATCAGCAAGAATGGATGAATGGTCATTGTGAGTTACTGTCGCATATGGTTTGGATACAACCGTACAAGCATTTCAATACTGAATATCCACATCCGGTAATCGATTTCTCCTTGAAAAATTATAGAGCTTTGTTCTATTCACTTATGAACTTGATCAGGCCTATTCTATATTAAGGCATATTCAAAATGACTATAAAAAGCTGAAGCAGTCGTTGTTAAGACAGGAAAAAAAACAGAAGTTCAGGCTTCTATTATTCTTCAGAGAATATTGAACACTGAGAATTTATCCTTTTCAAAATGCCATCACATTTGATGGTCCTTTTTTATTTTTCATAAAATCAGTTCCAGAAAATTATAAAGTAATAAAATTCTTTTAAAAAAAAGTGGAAAAATTTCTGTAGTTTCCAACACAGATCAGTGCATTATCGGACGAATACTTGGTTCATGTCATTTTAAAAAATAGTTTGAAGCTGTAAATTTTAAAATATCACAAACAATTGTAAGATGCGAAAAAAAAATTATTAAAAAACTTAAATTATCATCGGAAAAGTAACAGTTTAATTGAAAAAGTTGCACCAGGTGCCTGGCTGGTGGTTTTTTATGAGCGAAAATGTGGACACAGCTGAGGAAGCAACAGAAGTTACAGCAGTGGAGGAATCTCTAATTCCTGAACCACAAGCTGCTGCTGCACAAGTTCAATTACCGCCAAATGAGGATCCCGGTGAAATGATGATGGCTACTATTGCAAGTAAACAATATTTATGCAAATGAGAAAGATGTGAAAGAGGAGCTCATTCGGAAGAGAAATGATAATTTGGAAAATTCAGAATTTAATGAAAATTTAATTAGTTTCAAATATTAAACGGCAATGAAAAAGTAAGGGAAAAAGACAGAAAGGTTAGATATATATGTAAAAGTAGGGAATAATTGATCTGTTGATATCCAATCAGGTATGACTGATAATATTTGATCAGATATTGGGAAAAAGTTCTTTCTAACAAAATTAATTGCAAATTGTCTTTGCAGCAAACTAATAAGTTGCATATAACTTGCAAAAACATCTAGAATATTTTTATTTGATAAGATATTCTTTGATGTATTTATCTGTGCAGGATTTTTCGAACGAATGATTGATGATCAATTGAATGCAGAATTTGGTGGTAGCACCCCAACGGATTTGGCAATACTTGCAAATCCTAGCAATAATGTGGTGTCACCCAATACTGCTAGTCAACTACCAGGACCATCTAATGGTATTTTGTATCACAATTTGGAAGATTTGCAATTCATTTCTAATTCTAAAACTTTGAAACAGTATAGATGGTATTCCATTTTTAGGTAGTCGTTCAGGACGCGCCACCGATCGATCACGTCGAAGTTACATGATAATATCACGAGATGGGAGAAGAAGTTTAAGTCACACTCTAGGACGAACACCCTCACAATCCAGCACTCAATCCACTGCACCAACCCAAACAGCTACAACTGCAGAACGACAGCAAGGAACATCTATGTGAGTCAAATGAAGCTGTGGTATTCATCTCGACATAATTTATAGCTAGCTTATTATCAAAATTGAGTAAATTTAATTCAATCGGTCATCTATGAAAAGTCCAGGGTATTAACAGATGAAGGTCATCATTTCCATAAACGATTTACATTTCCAGTTTTAGAACTGCGGAATCGCCAGATTCAGAAGATTCGGAAGAAGGACAATCGAATCATGATGGTAACAATAACGAATCAAATCATTTTGGATCAATGACGACGACAACAGCAAGCACAACGTCAAATGCTGGACGAGAAGGAAGAAATACAAGACGAACTGGACCTTAACATACCTCGATAACAGTTAGACCAACAGACATTTGTAGTGTTGCTATTTTGAATTTAAAATAAATATAAAAAATCAATAACTCTATAATGGAATCAAATCATAGTTAATTATCATTGTCCACTTTTATTGTTGTTATGAACAGAAATATTCTTCCATAATCCAAAACATTTATGCTAGACGACCAATTAAAATTTCTGTAATCATTTCGGCTAACTACTGCTTGTTCAGAGTTACGATTTATCACAAATTTACAAAAATTGATTGAAAATAAAAACAAACAAAATCATAAGCAAACATAAGAAAAGCACTGTTTCCTTTATACATACCCAGGAAAGAGCGATCACAAAAAACCACATATATAACAAAAGACATACAAATTCATACAGCATGAAATAAGCCTATATTGTAGTATCCTGATGAAATAATAAATAATGTAAAATATTGAAAAGAAAATTTTTTTAGCTAAACACTTGGTTTCATAACCCTTAATAAATAATATTCAAAAATAACAAAACCAGGTATCCATTAAATTCCCTCATTAAAATTTATAAATTTTGTTTTTTTCTCTTCTTTTCAAAACGTTCCTGATTGAACCAAAGAATTTTTGGTCCAAGCACGTCATTTGTTCTCAAAGATTCTTGTCTCTTACAAGATTTTTTTCCACCAAATTTCTTCAATTAAATATATTTAGATGCTTCTAGTAACGCAAAAAAAGAAGTCTTAAAAGTTTACGACTTGTTAGCATTCAAAATTTCATTTAAATAAGAAAAAACATAAAAGCAATAATTGGGAACAATCAACAGGAAGACCACATATTAATAAGCAAGAGAACGAAGTTTTGCACCTTATCAAAAAGCTATGCAAATGAGTGCCATTAGTGACGGGCATGAATCTAAGTTGACTGACCAGAAAATGATGGCATCGAGCGCATTGATGGTATTGGACTGCTGGAGGCATGTACAGGACTGTAGTCACCGCTCTCTTTATTGAAGAAAAATCGGAAACTGCAAATATAAATTCTATATATTCTTATATTACCCATAGACTTCTTCAAAAACTTGCGAATTCAAGTTGTTTATTTCAACATAACTAATTATATATCATTAATGATTAACCTAAGTACTACTTGATTTGTTAGGGAACTAGCTCATGGATTGGAGCGAACAAATTCTATATGTCCTCCTAAGAACGCATACGATGAAAAACAGTGCTCAAAAATTAATAATGTTCTATGAATATCATGAGAAACATTTGTTAATTAGGGCAGGAACCATAAACTTTTATATAAAAGATCCGAAATTAAAGTTTCAAAATACCTTTTTGTAACTTCCACGAGATTCTTTAATAATCGGCAGATTCTCAAGACTTCATATTAACTAGTCTTTATCGTCCTTCCATAGTGTAAGCTGCATATGAAATAATTGAAAAACACAGTCACTTCTTCTGTAACTTTTTATAAAGTAAAGCATACAACTTTCGTACGCCGCTTTCTTTTCGTTCATATTTCCATGGGTACAATTTCTCTTCTGGTTCTCTGTTGATTGGTCCATAAACAACATATTCTTCTGTTTGAGCAGGCCTGAAATCACAACAATGAGAATTGATGTTTTTATAACTTGACTAATGGGGTTATATTCCGTTATAAAAATGACCACACTGTAAAAAGGAATGAGACAAAAATACTCTTCAAACTAAATTAATAGAAATTTCTTCACCAAACAAGAGATTCTTCAAATACTAGAAAATACCTATCAAACTCTTTGCTGGAGTCACTTGTAACAGATTCTCGTCTGCGCGATAGTCGCAACTGTCCCAACTCCTCTTCCAATTCCAAAAGTTTGCCTTTTAGCAAATTTTTCTCTTGCAGTACTTCACGTAGCTCTGATAGAGTAAATCTAGGAGCATTATCACTGTCATCCTGAAAATAATTTCATTAAAAAAGTAACTTTTGTAGAGCAATGTAATACAATCTGAATTTCTATCATCTGCAGAACTTTTTTTTCTACCTTTTTCTCTTTTGCAGAAGCAAAAGAAATCAGTAAGAGAATTAAAACAAAAAATATTTTTGAGAACAGTCAACCACTGTCATGCAGTTTTTTAGTTGCCACGCACAAAGGTAACTGATTACTACTAGAAAAAAAAATGTTCTGTTCGAGAATGAATAAAACCGGAAAGACTTGACATTTAACTGCAAACTGGAATTTTCAAAAAGTTGATGTAAAATGTCACTAATATAAAACATTTTTTCCGAAATGGCTTATGAGAATGAAGAAGGCAAATAATATTTTCAAACTTTTGCGAAAACTTTCACAAACAAGATAAAAGATACCATTTGATATTGTTGCAAATCTTTGCACTGTCGAGCAGCATCTTTGAATAACTTTGTTAGTTTAATATTAGCTTCCTCAGTTAACTGTAGTCTTTTAACAATTTCACTTTTCTCTTCCACCAACATCCTTCCCTGTTTTTGCAACGATGCATTCTTCCGTAAAAGTTCTTCATTTTGACGAATCAGTTTCTCAACACTGTTGTGTAACTGAAAGACAGGTAATAGTTCTACGATGAAAACCTGATGTATAAAAAATTAGAAAGATTTTATATTGTAAGAAAATATGATTAAAGGTCACTAAAGCATTTTGATTTTTAAAAATGACGTTAAAACAGCGCATCGAATGCTTCAGGTAGCAACAAAAGTTAACTGATTTATCTTCAAACACAGTAACATATTGAAGAAAAAAATTCTACTTAATGAAGAAAATTATGCAGGTATGAAAACTTAAAAAATCCAAGGAAAATAAAAGTGTTGGAAATTTCGAGATTCTTTTTACTCAAATGATACTGGACACTAACTATTCTTTTTTCTTATTTTATAAATGATTGAATATAAATATGTCAATAATCTGAATGACTTACGTTCTCTACTTCACAACTGTAAGTACTGATATCCTTTTGTAATTCCTTTATTTGCTCTTTTTGTTTAGTAGAGAGCTCTCGTAGTTCTAACAACATTTTTAGATCTTCATCACGAGTTGCTGAAATGGAAAAACTTAAAATTTAATCTTTATTAAATTATTTGATAATAAAAATCGGAGGAATCCAAACAAAATGTCTATTAATAAAACGGAAAATATGAAAACGAATATCAGATTGAGCCGTCGAGAAATACTGTCTTGGTAACTTTTTTCAAACTCATTTTTTTTGAAACTGAAACCCATTTTTCAAGGTATAAGAAAGAGAAAAGGATTTTTCATTGTCCACGATGCAGAAAACTGAATATGGAATAAACCTAAGCATATCCTATCACTTTATCGCCATCAAATAACATTCTTTTCTACTGATAACAGATACAATCATTTTAAACGTTATAAGATGTAAATTTTGAAAAAAGCATACTTGTGGAAGTAAGTGCTGAAGCATCATCGCCTGTTGCTGATGATAGGTGCTTATTTTCCAACTGCAAATTCTTTACCATCGACCACAAATCATCGATTTCTTTTCGATAATTTTCTTCTACTGCTTCTAATTCCTATAATTTTTGATGTTATCTTCACAATATTTTACATACTATATAAAATGACAGATGAATCATATCTATCCGTAATTTCTCTTTGCATGAAGCAAACCAGCATTAGGACCTACAGCTCAGCGAAATATGCTTTTGTCACTAGCGCTATCGTTACCAGTGCAAAAAGAATGGATAAGACATGTGTACATGTGTTCACATTTATATGTCCATAAATTCAATAAAAAAAATGCTTAACAAAAAGATCAAAAAACAGATAGCAATTACAAAAAAGAATAAACACTATCTGTGTTGATGCCATTCCTGACTACCACAAAAATAATAATTTAGAAAATGGCTCATACAATCAGCGTCACAATCAATTTTTTAGTGTTCCACATTCCAAACTGAAGTTGGAATTTATATCTCGCATTATTCCGTATTTGAAAGACATAATATTATAACTGTGGATGAACTTTAAGCTTCTTAAATCAACCAAATCTTATTGTAAAAATGAGTTGAAGCAAATTTTTACTATAACTGAAAATAAATTACCAATTCAAATTTGATTCTATCCTGTTGCTTCATTTGTTTTTCGTTTTCCAACCTTTCAACTGTTTTTTTCAACATTAAAATTTCCTCATTTTCTTTTTCATTATGATTAGCTAGTGATTCGAGCGTTTCAAGTGCCGAGATTACCTGCAAAAAAATAAAACAACGACATTAAAACTGAAGCTAAAAAATAACGAATTTTATTCACAAAAATTTTATACACTCTCTCATAAAACACTTTTATCGGTAAGAAATTCTTTATAACAATCACAGTGAAAAATACATATTTCTATTTGATAGACCACTGTAAGAAATAATGCAAATTAATGGAAATCATCATGCCATCAAAGCAAGTTAAAGAATTAAAAAATAAATAATAGTGAGAGGAGAAAATGATGTGATTTAAATATGGAGAGGGAATTAATGGGACCACACAAAGTGCTCGCATTTAGATGTCAATAAATTATCACTTGAACTTTTTAGCAAATTAAATAAAGCTTAGTGATCAAGGGAATTAAAAGTTGTATGCACAACAAATCCCCCTAGTACACATCCTTCATTTAGTTGTTTACTTATTTCATCCATATAATTACAATTACAATTATGCAAAAATATAAGCAGATGGAATTTTATCAGCATACTAATGAAGCTTCATTTACATATGTCATAACAACCAACTCTTTTTAACAATCTTATTTTCGATTTCTTTCTTTTCAGTAAATAACATTATTTACAAAGAAATCATGCTGCGTTACTATAATATACTTACATATTGACAAGGTTTTATTCGATCCCTCTAAAGTTCTCTTTTAACACTTCGTTAAACATTATAGAAGAATCTCGTCAATCGTTAGAGAGCTGCTCCGATTTAAGACACCAAGAAAACTAAGGCTTTCCTCCCACTTTGTCATTTCATTCATCTTATCAGTTTTCTTTCTAATTTTCTTCCTAGACAGACATCCACACTTGTATGATAATAAGAATTCTCCAAGACCCATTTATTTTTTGAAAGCTTTTTCACTTTGTTCATTCTGCGATTCCTACTTATTTTTGTAACTTCAAAGTTTTTAATAATAACTTATACTTCCAAAATCAAAATTTAAATAAAATTCGAACATCCGAAAATATAACTATATATTAGCAACACACCCTCTTTAGAATTAATAAGTTAAAAATATGATATAAACAATGAGTTCAATCATAGATTACCAAACTTATCACTAATTCGTTTAAAAGTTAATGTAATCACCATACGGTTCAAATTTATATGAATATTCAGATTAAATTTATAAACAAAACTTACCTTAGGCATAATTTGTCGCACGCTATCATTACCAAACTCATCAATGATTCGTTCAAAATCTTTACCAATTGAAGCAGCCAGATCATAAACATCAACAACAGTAATATGCCTTGAAGGACTATCAGCTAGAGATCGTACGTCAGCCATTGTTGTAATATTTGTTATACTCACCTTATCTCCAAAATCTTGCTTTTCTGAAAGAAAAGAAAATCAGCATAGCCGAAAAGAGTTGCGCTCTCATCAAATGTACTGCATTAAGTTATATAAATATATGCCCAACCAATGAAATAACAAAAAGAAAAATAATAAAGTGTTGCAAAACATGGCCATTCCTTCAAAATTATTAATACCACAAGATCTCATTGCATAATAAAACTTTCAAAATCTACTAGACTGAACCACATTGTGCAAGATCAATAAATTAAAGCTTTTTTTTTCTCATGGACAGACTAGAATTGTATTTCCAATATATTGTATTAGTCATCTATTTATTTTAATTCAGTATTGACTACGTTAACAAGAAAATCAGATGGAATGAAAATGTCTAAAAACCGAATTAAACTTAAGGACTTAATTAATACAGTTACAATCACTTGATTGTATATGCCATAATAGTTATATATATATATATATATATATTTCATTTTATACAATGCAATTTGACTTATAAAAGTAATATGGTATTAAAATTAAATTTATAGAAATCTTCGAAAATTTCACATTAGAGTGATGAATCTTTCAGAATTCATCTTTACACTAAATTATGGAGAAAAAAGGTACAAATTCCGTAATTTATTTTTCAAATAAAATAAAAAAATAATTAAAGTAATGTGGTATGACGCATTGGACATGAATTTCTGTTTAACTAAATACAACAGAAGCCTGGAATTATGAATAGAAGGAAACATATGTAAAATGGCTCCCGGATAGGACGAAAGAATGGAAGGCACGGAGAACTAAAGAGAGAAAGGATAATTGCCAGTACAGCATCCAATTCGCTCATCCACTTTCATCTTCGCCAGCAATCTTTCTTCTTAACAGCAACAGAATGCGCCATCAGCAGTATATTTCCCATTGCTCATCGATTTGTCATCCTCCTTACAAATTCTCGAAAGTACGACTCGGTATGAGGACAGATACGCCCTACATTCATAGCATATATTCCGAACAAAAAAAAAAAAGAAAGCTGCTGAATTGCGTATTTAAAAAATCGATCTTTATTTAATGATATTTAATTTATCCAATTACTAAAAGCTTTATTTTAGCATGCACTTACATCAGTAAAGCAACACTACACTAATCTCAACATACAACATTCAAAAGCATTAAGAATCTTTTTAAGAATATTTAAACATTCATAGACAATAATACAATTTGAAAGTCTTGATATCTAGCATTTATATTTGAAAGCCTTGATATCTATCATTTAATAAACTGCTGAAAGCTAGGACGACTGATAAATAATATCCGTGGTGTAAACTATTGAGCCTCTATTGATCAATATATAGCTATATCTTCCTCGCCTACTTGAAAATTCTTGAAAAACACTAGTTGTATTTCAACATGATTTAATTGTGAATTCCTGAAGAATTCATTAATTTCACACAATAAATTCATGACAAATTTTTAATATTTATGTAAAAAATTTAACTCAATTCTACTTGTGTTTTTCACGTCGCCGACTAGACTGATAGCAATATACTGACAATCAGAAGGGTTTCACTAAGTTGACAAATGGAAATGAATCAATAAAAGCTTCTTTATTTGAATTAGTAACTAACTGCATGAATAGTAACAAATATGACTAATTTAGGCATGAGGAATGGTAGATAGGCTTATTTGAATCTAAATTAAACAAAGAGAAAGACGCTTTCGCAATAACAATTAAACCAAAAATCAAATGGGCGCTTTCATACGCATACGACTACCCGAAGACTAATGAAAATAGTATGAGTGTTGCGACAGAGTGTAATTGATAATTTTTTAAAGTAATAAACAGAAAGTAGCGATTGGTGCGCAATTATATTACAATTATTGAAAAATAAGTTGAAGCATAACTGAAGATACCTTCACTGATTCTACTGCACCTAACGAAAGAAATTCCTTAGAAATTTTGCAATATATATATTCAATTTTCCAGCCAATAGAAAAGCTGAGAAAAATTCTAATAACGAATATCACTTTACCTGCCGTATTTATTCTTCCAAATGGAGTTTGATTGTAATGGATTGATAAAAAATAACAAGCAGACACTACATTTTTCATAATAGGCTTCGGAATGCTAATCTAACATAGAGCTCATTTATTTTAGAACTTGCAGTAATTCTAAAAGGCAATCATTCCATTCAATGAAAATGTTCATTTTTTAGTTACAGTTTTTACATCTTATAAAAATCATATAAACTAAATTTTTTCTTCGCAAGCCTACTTTTGCACATCAAAGATTGAAAAAAAAAACTAATGAGATGAAAATTGTAACTAAAAAATTTCACACAAATGCCAAATTACCAACATAGCAAGTGTTCAATAACGAAAAGAACAAAGTTCAGGCAGGGTGATTCATCTTACACAAAAACATTTGAGAGTTTACCAAAAGAAAAACAAGCAGTTACATTTCTTCTCCAAAATTACTTTAATAAATTGAATAATCATCTTTTTCAGAAATCTTTAGTTGGTTTTAGAAAAATTTTACACTGCATTAATAACGCTCGATTAAGTTCTTATATTTTATCCATTCAAACATAAATCGGTTTCAAATTTTTTCACATAATTAATGGAATCTACAAAATTTTACATTCATTTTGTTTAACAAGACTACGGACTTGTATGGACAAACACGTAACAGAAAACGAAATCTCATTATTATAAATTTCTTAATCATTATGTAACCCGTCAGTCTGCAAAAGATTTGACGTAACTTCCACTTATAAACGTAAATTTAATTTCTTGCGAAGAAAATGTTGCCGAAGTATTTTTTTTCTCGTTCCGCCGATATACATATATAAACCAGTTTTTTCTAAATTTCTGAACAAAGCTCTATTAAACTAAGCAACCACAAACATATTTAAATTGAAACACCACAAAAATTCGAAATCCATTAAGTCCGAAGTCTTCAACTATTCAAAAATGCATATGTATTGCTAATCAAATTAGAATCTGACCATCCGTTAAGACAGTTGTATATATATATTGAGTGGAGTAAGGAAATCAGAAACATAGAAATTGCCGCGAATGAAAAGTGCTGTATCATTTGAAGCACTTCTTGAAATTTCTGAAATCAGAAACTATAAGTAGTAATGAGAGATGATTGAAATCAACTAACTTTACATCAACAAAAATCAACAGAAAGCAAAACTACACTGCAGAACTCTTTTTGATGTAAATTTCGAGTTTGAAGATAACATTTTCATCAACTCGCCATAAATATGGCATAATGTCTGAAAAAAAAAAATCGACTACTCCAAAGAACTTTTTCCTCTGTGTAAAAAATGACTTTAATAACTGACAAAGAATATCGCCCCAACTATCATTAAACAGTAGAAAATATAATATTAAACATTACTTCAAAATCATTTCGCGGTATAATTTGCAAAGAAACTTGGATTCCGCTCTGATCAAGGGATTTAAACTAAGAATAATGTTTTCTAAGTTATAAGATGCTGAAGAAGTATATCCAAAACTTTTCTCCAACAAGCAAAGAGGACTGATAGAAAACTATGACCTGAATCAATATGAATAAAACTGCAGCACAACAGAATTATACACCAGTAGCCAAAACAATTCATTTTTACTCTTTTAAAGAAAATGAACAATAGCACCAAGTCAACCAAAAATAAAACCCGTATTACACATTCGTGGACTCAAAACAATCAAAAAATTCGCTAAGGATCGGTACTTCACATATTAGCACACATCAATGTAACCTTCTATCAACTTTATTTTGAGTCATTAGCGAATTAGTTTATTTCCCTGCTCCTAACATAAATTTTCGGACAACGAAGTTTAATAGAGTTCTATTGAATCCCAATCTAGTTATTATAATCAAGTTTTCTCTGAAAAGAACTAATTAAAATTCAAAGCTACTGAAACTGCACAGCTTTTATTATTTTATCTCATTTTATAAAATCTATTAATCTTTGAAAATGATGCAGTAAGCTATATAAATTTTCACCAACTGCTAAAAATAGTAGACATACTGATTCTAGCATATTTTATGAGTAATTATTGCCAAAAGATAGCTTATCTCGCCTTAGAGTAGCAAAATTATTATTATATCCGATTAATTTTATGTTGATAAGAATATTAGTTTATAAAAAATGAAAAGAAGTGGATATTATACACAAATATTAAATGCACATTCACTCGAAAAAAAAGAATGACACAATTTTCTTGTCTTAAAAAATTATCCTTAACAAACTGAAATTAAAGCGTAGTAAGATCCTCCAGCTTTGGCCTTTTTGCCTCCATAAACTGCTCATCTTCATCTTCATCACTGTCGCTCAATGCCAGATCTGCATTCAATTGACCAGAAGTATGCATTTGAGATTGCAGCAAATCATTTTCGGCATCATATTGACTATTTACTTCCCCTCCGCCATCACAACTACTGCCTAGAAATTGAATTTGAACAATTTTTAGAGAACCAAGCCCATCTTATACACAATCACATTATCAGCCTAGGGCAAAAATTTCATAACTCCACATGAGAGACAAATTATAACTTAATTTATTTCAATAAATGAAAATATAGAGCTGAAATGTTATCAAACACAGTAGCAGGCATACCTAAATCTTGATCTTCATCATCTAGATCATCTTCATCCCCACTCAGAGCAAGATCGTCTTGCAGATTACCCATCGGTATTATCTCTTCATCGTCATCTAAATTACGCAAAAATTACTTTAAAAAAAAGATATTTATAAATAAAACGAAAGCTGTTTCCACTATCCATCGCAGATCTCTTTATTTTAAAATAAATTTTTAATTAAATGCGAACCTGGTTCCATTTTGACTATATTTTCATTCAATCTTGATTCCAATTCATCATGTCTCGAACTTGGAGATGGTTCCTCTACTTCTTCAGCACACATGGTGCTCGTTGCATTTGATTCGAGATCTACATGCTCATTTAAAGTTGACTGAATATTCATCTCTAGTTCTGCTAATTGTTCTTTTCGTTCCTGTAGCTTGTAGTTGTAAATAAAGAGGAATGAATGTGGCGCAAATCAATTCATGGCAAACAGACATAATCTTGAATTAGAAATGATATAATAGAAAATAAACCTCAAGCATCTTCTCGGCCAATGTACATATTTCAACAGCTTTCGAAGTATATTGTGATATTTCTGGAGGTCCGTTGTACAACTCACTGTTCATTCTAATCTATAAGACCGAAAATTCATTCAATATTTTTACATAGAATTAAGAAAAATGACTATAACTTCCTGTTTTTTAGACAAAATTGGAACCTGTTTAATATCGTTTCGAAATGCTTCAACAGTTGTGTAACGATGTTCCTTAATATTTTGCTGCATGGTACCCAAATCCATCGGCTTATGTATTTTTTCGTAATATTGAGGCAACTAAAAATTGAATTATTTAATAAATCAAACGTCTTAGTAAATATGTCAGTCATAGGAATTTGGAGTAGCAATGAGAGACATAACGAAAAAATTAACGGTCACAAATAGTCTAATAAAATGGAAATCACAATCCATTTCTAAAAAATGCAATACGTGCACCCGCAAATTGTTTTAATCAGTATATATTTTTATAACAGTTTTAAAAAAATGTGAATTAAAGTTTAGAAATAACAATAAAATATGAAACTACCTTCTTCGGATCGACCTTGAAATGGAATGCAACGCTTTTAGGTATATTTTTGCACTCCTGTACAATTTCGTTCAATATGAATGAGAAACCAATGATATCATTATCATCGAGCAAGGGGTTAATTGCTTTCTCCAAGGCAATCAATTTCTGTTCATGTTCAGCAACATGTCTGGATGCCATTTCAAATACCTAAGATTAGGATTTGTTTTCTTATGAAAACTAAATACGTGAAAACAGAACAGAGAAAAGTATTTTTATCTCATTAATTCAAGAAACCTAACATTTTTGGCAGTAATTGTAATAGGATGACCGCCACCATTATAAAGTATTGAATTATCCATTATTAGCTTGATATCATACAAAAACTGTCGTCTCAATTCATATTTATTTTCAGAAATTTTCTTCTTGATTTGTTGTAGATCCATTGGTTCTTTTATAATGTTGTAATAATCTGGAACCTAAATAAAAAAATGATTACTAATAGGCATAAATTTCACTAACTTTACAGAATATGACGTTACAAGTACTTAGTTTTTTTGAAAGCAACATCTTTAAAGAATCCATCTCGTTTCCAGTTAGCTGCCTCTTCTTCCCTATTTTATCTCAGCGATTAAAACGGCACTGATTTCTACAAACTTTTCTTCCAGTACAAACTACTGATAAAAAGGGAAACTTTGTAAGAGAAGTCAAGTCTTTCATCGCTTTATGATCTTTATAGGGGCCTTACATCATTGCATCTGCTCATTAACACTACATTATTTTAATCAGTAGAGAAATCACGTTTCAAATAATTGTACGACTGAAATTAAAATAATGCTTATTTATGCGCAGTAGTTTACTAAAAGAGTTACTTTTTTTGGGTTAACTGGAAACATAATTTCTTCACAACCGGAAACACTGCGAACGTCATTAAATATTTCACTCAAAACAATCGACATCGATACCTGCAATCCGTTACCGTATATTCTTCATCATTAGATCAATTAAAATTAGAAAAATGAAGCAAGGACCAGCATGTTATTTTTCTTTGTACGGTTTTTTAAAGCAGTTACGATTTATACCAATCACACTTTGAATTAATAGTTGGTGTGTCATATGTCATGAAAATATTTCAATTATTAAAATCCAAGTAAGCAAATATATAGACTAACTTTTGGATCAGCTCTTATCCGTTTAACAGTTTTTTGTGGTCCATATAAGTAATCGTCCATCTCGGCAGTATGACGACGCTTATTGGAACCAACAGCAGCTAAGCGAACTTTACCTAAAATTATGAATAGTTTAGAAATAATGGATTAGTACTGAACATTTACATAAACAAGACTACATGAATTTATGAATGTATCTGCACTAACCTAATTTAGGTGGTTCAGGAATTCCTGAAATTTGCACATCATCATCCGGATCAATTTCTTCACTATTGTCGTTTCCATGAACCATACTTATATTTTCTTCTGGTTCAGCTGGAACTGCTGGTGATCTTTTGTCTCCTTCTGCTACCAGTTTTTTATCACCTTCTATTAGTTCACGAGGTATATGGAGCCTAAAATCCAGATGCATATTTCATAACACCAGGCTACACTCCTGCACAGTAAATTTAAGAAAAGAACTTGCCTAAGTGCATTTTTTTTTATCATTTCTGCATGACTATACAATTTTCTCGATATTTTCAATTTCGTTCCTTCCACTGCAATTAATTCGCCAGATGGAACGGCCATCTTTTCAAGTTGTTCATCCGTCAAAGCTACCTAAATCAAACTAACATATGAATTTCGAATCTTTGCAAAATTATAACTTTATATCAAACTAAATTTAGACAATAAAACAAAAAATAAAATTCCTCTACTCCATGAACTAACACTACGGAATGAAAACATACACATTTAACTTTTCAAAATATATTACTTTTCATAAAAACCAACAGCACTGGTGAAAGTATAAAAATATGCAGTGCTATTCACTCGAAAAAAAAGTACTTGATCAATATTTGATAACAGCCTAAAAGAACGAAAAATACCGGATGAATATCGCCTACAGTTTTGATAGTTTTCGTTGGATCTTTACCATATAATGGACAATTTTTGTTGGTTTTCATATGTCCCGTACCATGACAAGCACTGCACCTCATTTTTAACAGATTTGGCTTTATCACTGGTGGCTTCTTTTCCGTTATTTTTGCCTTAAAAAATCATTGTGAATAAGCTATTCCATTCTTTTTATTCCATACAACCCGATGTTCCCAGCAAAAAAGAACAGTTTTATCATATAAAAAAGAAAGCATTAACATTTTCTACCCATTACTATCTAAATTCAATATCTACATAATCTCACAAACAAGTTAAGCCAACCTTGGTAATAGGGTGTCCAATGGGTACACCATGAAGCTTAGCTTTGAGCTCATTACGCCTAATCCTGCGTAATTGGTCTTGTAATCGTCGTTTCTCTTTTCTTCTTTCCTGAAAGTGTAAACTTTGAGATAGATTCAACAGGAAATGAAAAAAGAATCTTCATTCTCTTTAATCAAATCTAGAACAGATGAACGGGCATTCTATAAATTTTAAATTCTTTTTCTTCATTGTTTCTTTAGATTAAAATTAGTTTAATTCGAAAAAAAAAGCAAAAAAGTGAGTAAGCAACTTACTTCTTTGAATTGCTCATCCATTTGCGCATACACTCGAATGAACGTTTCGTCACATCTTGTGCGTATACGCACATACGCGTCGATTAGTTGTTGACGTGTAATTACTTCAACCCGAGTCTATCAAAAAAAGAAATATAAAGAAAGTCTTGGAAAAGCATTAAGACTGAAAACTCTACAGATTATCCTTCTGATTCAAGTACCGATCATTGTTGATTAAGCATTAAAAATATACTGTTTCAGTGCCATCTTCAGCTCGATAGGTACGATATATTTTAAGTTTCCTTGTTACAGAGGGTGCTAGAGTCTGAGAACTCTGCATTTCGCTAAATACTGTTGTTGCATCCAGCTCTTTGCCTGTAAATCAAAACCCACTTCATTAATTGATTCAGTATACGCAAAAGTATTATAAAAGTCAGAAAAGTGCACCTGCAGAGTGAAAAGAGGGAAAATGCAAATTTCATAAACGAAACATGAAACCTTTCATTTCATTTTCCTTTTCATGTTTAGCTGATCCCGCAGGCTCATCACTGCAAAGCATTTTTTGCAATGCCTTTCGTTCCTTCTCCTCTTGTTCAAACTCCAACTTTTTCTTGTCAAATATGAATGATTTGCCTAAACAATGTTTTTCAACAAAATGATAAATATACATAACAGTAAATAGAAGTGTATGGTGGCAGGATGAATTAAATAAGAATTATTATTTTTTCACTTCCATCATGTCTTTTATTGCCTGTATCATGATTTTTTCTCACCAAGTACATTGGGTAAATAAATTTCGTAATACTTATTAATATTTTATCCATATTAAAAGCAGAACCCTTGTTAGCATCCAGCATGCTTTCAAGCTTTGTTGCAAGTTCTTCGTTGTCTGAATCCTCCCCACTGCTTCCTTCATCCGTACTCAAAATATCTGTATTTGACAATGTCCTGCAATAAATTTTTTTTCTGATCCAAGTAATTTGAGAAAAAGCACACGCGTGAAAAATATTAACAACGCATAATGCTAGGACCCAACAACCTACTGATTTTGCAGATCAAATGTTCTTTGACAAAATTTTTTGTATTTTTCTTGCATATCTGCAAAGTTAAATCTGATATTTCCTCGAGCAAACCGAGCCATACCTATAATAAGTTTTTTATAACAATTTATAGGATCAAAAAAAAAGATTGAAATGAGCAAGTGAAGAATTTTACAACAAACTGAACTAAATTATATTAACAAATAGGATATGTACCAGAGAAATCTGATCTTGCTTTAGCAGCTTGTGTGGACAATGTTCGGATGACGTCAATTATCTCCCACCGACTCAACGAATTAATCTGAAAAAAAGTAAAATTCCCATTTTGAAGAAACGTCCGTTTCTGACTGGCTGAATTTAGTTTTTTGAAATCTAAATTAAATCCAACATAAACTTCTTGACATTTGAGAAAGCACCTCTTCCTCTCTGACACCATAATCTCGACATATTTCTTTCGCTTCTTTCAATGGTAGTTTTCTAAGATCAGCATTCGTCCCGGTTACCAATCGTTTCGGAACATTCGTGACTTCTTCCTATAAAAAATTTGAAGACAGAAATAAACAATCAACTAAAAAGAAAATAAGTTATAACGATAGAGACAAAAAGAGAAACAAAATTAACTTTAGCTTTCTGTGGCTTAGCGCTGACACGAACATACGAGAAACCTTCACCACACCCGGTTGGATCAGCTATACCCGTTTGATCCAATAAACATTTGCCTTTCATAGATGATATGTAAGCCCGTGTAGTATTCCACGGAGCGCATTTAATCTTTAAAATTATATACATAAAATAAAATTAAACAAAAAAATGAAAAATAAAACAATCCATATCCGGAATTTAGGATATCATCTAACATCCTCCAATTGCGGATTTTGAAGCAGTGACATGAAATTAAAGATATGTAAAGCCTCAAATAAAGCATTTTCCATTTAATACTAAAAACGACATGATTTATAGCTTCTATTAATAGTTGACCACCAAGCAAGAAAGTTATAATATGGATTTCTATATTAATACAGCAAGTTGTTTATTTTTCAGGAAAAACGTTACTTCGACATTGTATTTCCCAAAGCATATCAGCTAAACCGATAAACAAAAAATTTACTGACCTCATCCTCGATAGTAACCTGATCATCCGAATCATCTTCGTTTTCTGGGGTGAAGAAGTATTTCTCTCCATAACCAGCGTCCTAAAATTTCATTTCATTTACTAAATTAGGCACTTCCTGTATTTCTTGCGATCTAAAACTAATTTTGCTAGGATATTCAACTATCACTTAAATTCCTTGCAAAAACTGTAACGAAAAACATCTAACTATTACCTTTAAGCGTTGTTCAGCCGCTAGCATGCTATACTGCGCACAACACATTTCTGGCGTTACCATCGCAAGTACCTCTTCCTTACTTGGTAATCGAAAATCATTTCGTAAAACCTACCAAAAAGCAAAAGAAATTAAGATATCAAAGTAAAATTAAAATATTTATTGGAAGTAATTTTAAAAAAACTGTAAAGGCTTTATCATATCTCACCAAGCCCAGTGATTTGCAACTAACCCAATAGTTTTGGTCAGGACCTTGTCCCAATCGTTTGAAATCTGAGCACTGTTTTAACCGTTTGCGGACTGAACTTTCAGCATAATGTGGAAATGCTTCCTTAATGTCTTCCATTTTCAATCTGAAGGAAATAAAAAAGAGTGAAAATTTTTGTCCTGTTCTGAGACAAGATCTCTTCCTTAATGTTTAATAAACAAAACCTTCCGCAAAGCAGCAGAATAGCGAATCACTTGCTTAGCAAATATGGAAAAAGTTCTAACAGACAAAAAATTGAAATTAAAGCCTAAACTGATAAAAATTTTCACCTTCTAGGATTTTGATCGCTGGCCCAGAAAAGCCGATAAATATATGCTAGCAAAAAGTCCCGAACAAAAACTGTTGCTCGTTTCGAATTTGGACTTGGTACTTCATACAACGGACACTCCTGACCAACAAGAAATAAAGTTGGGCAATGACGAATAAAATACCTGCAACTTAGATTTATTATGAAATATACAATATTTCAATTTAGATTAAATATACAATATTTCAATCTTTAAGACAAATTTTTTATTTGAAAACAAATAACCATATCACATTGAATGGTTTTATTTCTTTCAGGTGTATAATTTTGCCCATATGCAATTACATAACCAGGATGCATTGAAATAAGAGACTGGATGGTCTTCGAAACTAATAAATTATCTATCTCATCAATGTCACACGTTCACTAAATGATGAAGCAACTGGGGCTTTATGATGCTAAACAGCGAGTGAATGCCTGTTCATCGGTTCCACAAAACAGAATGTATAGCGACTAGATCCCTCGGTCAATGTCATATAAATCAATGAACTTAAAAATCAACCAGAAATAACCAACCCCTGCTTTGTGCGGATAAGAAGAAAGTCATTTGAATTTGATGAATGTTTGTAAATAGGTGCACGGTACAAATTATTCTCCAACGATTGCAAACCTTGGCCTGGCGCAAGAGAACCCAGAAATGGTGAAGTGTGCGTAAAAGCAGTTTCACCAAATTCATATTCTGGATCTGTTTCCTTTCCAACTTTCTGAAGAGATATTAATTATAACTTTAAAAAAAAGAACAAATTTTTCTCACTGGTCAAAAGAAAGTGCGTCATGAGAGAATCCAGTGCTTTCCATTTCGTGCACTGTTCTACAAACAATTTAGAGTGGATAGTTTGTTATTAGAATAACAAGCTGGATGTTAGCGTAGCAGATATTTTTCAGTGTTTTGATACTTGGTATAAAATTAACCAAAAATAGAGGAGGAGAAATAAAATGAAAGCTCATATAAACTATCAGTCAAAAACAAATAAAAAAAGTAAGCCTACCCTTTTGTAATAATTCCTGATTTTACTGGCCATTCCGGGCTGATTGAGCAATGGTGGATGCTCTTCAGAATATTCCATTAGTAAGAGAGTACTATCCTTGCCCGATAAATCTTGCACCTCACGCATGAAGAAAATCTCACCCCCTCCTTCTGCTGCCTTCTGTTTTTCACGAAACTTAAATGAAATTAAATATGAAAATAAAAAGAACTTATGGAAATAAGAGTGTTTTCGAAGTCTTTTTCTTCTCCATATGCTGTTCAACTTCACCATAGAATAAAATATTCCAAAATTTACCTCTTCCTTTTCTTTGATCAATTTGGTTAGTGTTTTAACAGACACCAGGCGAGTGCCTGTTGTTCGCAAAATTCGTTTAGACAACGGTAAACGATGATAATGCCGTAATTTAAATGGATTTAAGTGCGTCGGGAAAAACGTCCGATGTATATTCTGTGCAGGTAGTGAATGTTGAATTAGTGAACTGCCAGAAAGAGAACTGATTGTTCTATAAAAAAAAAATATAAAAATAAAAAGAACTTATGAAAATAAGAGTGTTTTCGTTAGATTTTATTGATTCTACTGAAAAGTAGAATCAATAAAATTTAACAAATCTTCCAAGCAAAAATATTAATTACTTCAAGAAAGAAAAATCAGTTGAAACCAAATTTCAAACAGTATGCACTCTCCAAAACACGTGGAATTATATGACGCTTGTATTATGCTGTAACAAATATCAATATAATAAAATCAGCTCACGAACCGGAAATGATCAATCTTACCTCTCGACATTTTTAGGCCTATAATAATCATCATTGCTAAGGTTAAACGGATCCTTGTCAGTTAGCTGAGCAATAGAACTCTCCATCTGTTCATCTTCTTCTTGTTTCTGTCGCTGTTGCACTTGGCCGAGAATCATTTTGGATTTCTTTGTGAATTGATGCTCCTATATAATTTTCTTTAGTAACTATAATCACCAGATTTTGGTTTCAGAACTTTGTAAACAACTAAACATGTGCTTGCATAAAGCTCGCAAACTTTCGTAATATAAAACACTACTTTTCGATCGAACGGTTTTGGTGGATTTGGTAATTCACCATCTTGAACCTTATCTTCAGTCGCTTTGTCTTCTGGCATACCAAATAATTTCGGATCGTCTGAGTAATCAAGAGTAAGGAGTTTCGGTTCTAAAATGAGAGATTATTACCAACTGATTAAACAATTGCACCTCGAAATAAAAAAAAAAAGTTTAACAATACCATCTATGACAATCGTGGAATTTCAAGTAGCACTATTACTGTCTTTAACAATTTTTTCAGTAACATACCTGGTATGTGATCCATATTTTCTGAATCCCATATAATATCATCTTCCCATCTTGTATAAAGCAAATCATAGTTTTCCATAGGAAAAATAGAATGAGATGGGGTTGGTTCTTTTGGGAAATCTAAAACAAAAAAAATGAAATACATTAATAAAAGCTTTAACAATTGCAAACTGGAGATTCCGCACTGATTCACTGAAAAGAAGGAATTGGTTGATTTCAGAAAAATTCATAATTTATGTGCTCCAGTGTTTTGAAACTTGACTAAGGCTTACAACTATTATGTTTTTCCTCAAAATCGATGTCTTCTTTGACAATTTGCACTTGCAAACAGCAAAAAACACTATTTTTTAATTGACTGGCCAAGTCATAAATCATAAAGCAATGATCTGCGTTAAATAAATCTTTTATATCAAAGGAAGAACGAAGAACGCTCATAATAATACTTATAATTCTTAATTCAAATTTCACCAAATAATGTTTTGGAACAATGAAGATTTTCTTTATCGCACAAAGAAAGTGAAGTTAAGCGGTGGGAATTGAAAAATGCATACGGTTCAACGAAAAATTGTATCATATACACATTACTAACCCAAATTCGCACTGTTTAGTGGTGGAAATGTGCCTGGTTTCGCAAACATCTGTTCAAATGCACGGGTTTTAACTGAAGAAAAAAAATGGAGGCCACGAAAGCGTTAAAATTAAATATATTCATGTTTCAAGTTAATTGAATGTGATTTAAAACTTGAGTTAAAATTAAAAAATCGTATCAAAGTAAATTAGTTAAAAAAGCGATAATAACGCGAAAAATAAATGAAAGAGAGATAAAACTTACAAGCTGTCATAAAAGACTCGTAATTTCTCGTTTGCTGTGTGGGCACCCAACCACATTCCGGTAATTTATCGGGTGGTTGGGAAGCTAAATTTTTCAGAATCTGAAATTCTTTTTATAGGAAAAAACTAACTCCATTAGTGTATAATAATTACATAGAAAGCTAACGAATACTTTTATAACTTTTGAACAAAATTAAAATTGGAAAAAAACCTGTCGCCTAGCTTGTTCTTCATCGAGTATTATATCATCCTCCCACCGAATTAAATTTACAGGAAGGAACGTTTCTGGAGGAAATGGTTCACTCGCTGCCAATCCAGGGCCAATTTCTTCCTCGACCACTTCATCTTCACTTTCATCATTCTTCTCATCTTTCATGGGACCCTTTTTTCGCAATGACTGCTGTAAAGGCATGATTCACTCAAAGTAATTTGAGATAATTACTATCAAAATTGTTGATAATACAGACCTCACGCTTCAATTTGAATCCATAATCAAAATGAGATGGATTAGACAAAACATTCATTGAATCATACCAAATGCGCGCAGGACCGAATCTAAAATTAACAGTAAATGGCGGAAACCTCAAAGTTAGAGGAAAAACTGCAAAATTTCATTAACATGACACTTTTTCCCTTCCAAAATGAAATATATATAGCAAAATTAAGTCATTTGATGGTGACTTTTTCTAAACATCAGAGACCTCCACGGTGATACATCATTCATGTCGCCATCACCATTACCATTTTTAGCAGATACAGTCGAAGTTGAAGGTCTCATTAAAAGAATTTCATCATCCACAAGGCAGTCTTCTGGAGCAGGAGGATCTCCGAACATTAATTTCGGACCGTAAGTTTCGATGGATTGTGATGTTTCAACAAGCTAAAATCTGTAAAATTGAGTAAAACCTAAAAAACCTGATGTCATTATAACTAAGGAATTCCTTTAAAAAAATGAAAACCCCTCTTTGAATAAAAAAATTACTCACTTCTGTAGGCTTTTTGAACACATGCGGCTTTTCCGCGCTTGTTACTCCTACCGCTTCATCTTCTTCCTGCCTGGGGCTCTATAAAATTGCCAATTTTATTTATATTGAATTTTCAAATATGTCATAAATTTTATAAATAATTTATACGTAAAAATGGAGTAAAACCGTTATAGTAAAGTGAAGTAGCTAACTGCAGAAAAAATATATCAAAAGTCACGTTTGGCCGGAATGTCTTTGATGGCCACCAAATTCTTGTTCTCGATGAAGATTTAATGTTAGCTCCGAAAAGACGAGAGAATCGTAAAACTTTATTGCGTGAATAATCGGGGAAAAATCTCCTAAAAACAAACAGTTATTGAAGCTAAACTTCCGCAAAACGTAACATAATATTGTTTATAATCAATACTGTGAGGACACTTATAAAATATTACTTTGGATCGATTTTATCAAGCTCAGGATTCTGTAAAATACCGGACAAAGGAGCGTCATCACGTTCTGATGGCGGTATAAACGGTTCATCATCGCAGCCTAAATTAATGAAAGAAAAAATAATATCAATATTCTAGCCTCTTATGGAAAAACAATCAAAAATCTTGAGGCTCGCTCTACTTACTAGCGACAGTCGGATTATAATCGCCATCTGAGAAATCATCACGTTCATCATCCGCATCATTAATTCGATCCACCAAATCCAAATGACGAACATACCATGCTGCAAACAAAATATTTTGCAAAAAATATAGCTTTATAATGCAATGTAGCAGGAAAAAGCATTGTTTCATTTCGAACATATCAGAGCAGAATTTGAAATTTAGTCACTTTAAACGAAAGATATAAAAAAATTAATAGAAAATTCATGTGATTAAAACACAAAATTCCTTTATCAAAATGCATCTTCACTTATCAAAGATCAGCGAAACAAAAGATTTGTTGAAATCTAAGAAATTATTGAAAATTAGTTAGAGAGCTCACTAGCATGATGTGCCGAAACTTACGTTCATTGACAGCACATGGATGATTTCGGTAAAAGTCTTCAGCATCGGATGAACTGAAATTAGTATCACGACTTTCATCTTCACAATCTTCGTCACTTACGGCTGTTTTTAAACTCTCTTCATCTGTAATTTCTTTTCCAGTGTTATCACCTTAGTGGATGAAATGAAAAGTGCAAAATAATTTGAATACAGCATCAAAACATCTTGGTGTAATTATTATTTCTTCATATCAATACTAACAATACTGAGAATTAATAATGAGAGAGCAAAAAATCGATATTTTAAACTCATATGATCACGGTGAACGGATATTTTCAAGGTGGCATTACATTTATCAAACCATCTAGTAAAAGGTTTATCATTAGCGAGCACACTTTAAAATAAAGCAAGTTCTTTAATTGTAATGATATAAAGCAAAAACAAATTAAGAGATGAATTTTTCATCTCTTCAAGAAGCTGAAAATGGACGATGGAATATGAAATATTAGAAATAAAACAAAAATTATACCATTAAAATTTGAAGAACTACGCTCCCGGGTAGAACTCTCAGATGAATCATTTTCTGCATCCTCCATTGTTTTTTATGCTTATATGAACAGTGTAAAGAAATATGAGGGAAGAGCGCTTGAAAAGAAAAACTGCTGAAATTTAGCATTGATCACAGAGGACATCATTTCGTCCAAAGCATTCCCTTCTTGACAGCAATTTGAAACATTCCTACTTAGTTCATTTATATAAGCTGACCTATCATCTATTCCTATCTTCTTTAATTAAGTAAAGGCTTGAAGCGCAATAATAGCGAAGACAAAAGTGTTGATAACTATAGTGCACTCTTTTGATGAGGCCCTTTACGACATAGCTGTGAAATTTTGTCATCTAAAGGAAGTTGTGTTTAAGGCAGAACGACGATCTTAAGATTTCATTGCCCGTATTCTTCAATAGAATTAATAATCAGCATTACCCAAATACTTTCTTTTCAAAGTATCAAATACCATCCCTTCATATGCCTCGGGCTAAATAAGATGATGTACTCGAGATGGAGATAAGATATTCTCGTGTCCAGGTAACCTAAGCGGAACGGATACCTAGGAAAAAAGTAGGAAGATAACATATGACATGTCTAATCAACTGATTAGCTTCTTTTTAGTCTTATCGACTAAACTGACTACCTTCTTTTTAGCCTTATCGATTTTTTCAAGTACATGATACTGCTGCCTTACAAAAAACTATTACTATTTACTTATTTCATGCATAAAGTTAATAATATCCTTTTATTTCAGTATGAGATATTTCAGTTTAATGTTCGCTTGAAATCTGCGGAATTTCATATGGAAATATATTTTACAATTGTAAGTATAGTACCTGTCACCAATTTGCCATCGTATTTAGATAAGATCATAAAATTTTTGGTATACAAATTTCTCGTAGGACAAGAAAGACATATCTGTTTTATGTTAATTCGTTCTAAATGAATACTTTATTGCTAATTTCGTCTACTACAAGCAAACATCATCAATTGGCTTGTTTTAAAAAACAAACCATGTACAATGATCTAACACCATCACAACAACTTTTGGCAGTAAACATGGTAAGCAGCGCAGTGGACTTCCTTGAAGATGTTAACAAACAAAACATCATCTCGAAATTGACATTAATTAGCGAGCCAAGTGGAAACTAATTTTACTCCAACTAGGAAAACGATAATGATCGATGGTATAATTTTCAGCATTACCTATTTAATTGTAACCATTTACTAGAAAAATAATAAGGATATCAAAGAATGTTATTTGTTTATTTTTCTAAGCCGAGAATGTTTATGCTTTTGATGAATGCATTTTAAAATTTAATAGTGCTATATTTGAAACTTGAATGACATTATGTCGATGACATTTACCAGTAGGAACAATGAAAAGCTTGAGATGAGATAAAAAGGCAGGAAGGAAATAGAATGTTAATTAGTTGTCAAACAAATGACAATGCATAATGAGAAGTATGACAAATTGAATAAAGTAATGATTAAATTAGAGATAAAAGTAGCACATTGGTTAAAATGACGTTCATCGAGATCTGATGACAAACATACATTACATACTCACAGGATCGTATACGTGCACATACACTTACGTGACGTGTATGCATACATAAATATATGTCTGATTTACAAATCAAATAATTTCTTCTCATGCATTAGAACATGCAAAAAATTTTTCACACTTCACATTTATTCAAAATACTGTTTTTTTGCGTAAAATTTTCGAAATCTCACAAAATCAATGTTCAAATTAAAAATGATTTAAAGAAATATGTGATAGATTTGAAAAGAAAAGGAAGGAAGGAAATCTGAATAGAAGGACTGTGCATCGATTGGGCAGCAAATATAAATGAAACAGCAACGATTTCGATAAATGTAATACAACTCTCATACTAAATGAATGATAATGGTTGTAACAAAACAATGCAAAAGATTCTTGCTTCTTCACTTTTGAAAACTTAAAAGTTCGCATGAATTTTTTTCCGGATATTTTCAAAAGAGCCACTTGAATGCCCTCCGCACAATTGCTGGCATCAATGACCATTCAAATGAGATCGTTTTATCATCTTCTGATTTCACTGTTGCCTAAAATTATGCGATCAAAGCACTAGTAAATGAAAAAGAATAAATAAAACGAAATAAACCTGGAAGATAATAAATTAAAGAGAATCAATGCAAAAAAGTTAATAAATAAGTGGGAAAATAAAAACTCATTATCTGTTGATAATGAATTTTTATTTCCCATTTATTTCTTCAATCAAATATTATGATAAATCCATTTTCATTACTATTCAAAATCATGAAAAGAGAACGATCGATTGCCGTCGTTCCTTCCCAATAAAAAAATTATAGTAAAAGTTGTTTGAAACGTTGTTTATTATTTTCGCACTCATTAGAAATCGAGAAAAAATCTAATTTATATCCCACCGTGCCATTTTTTGAAATTTCTCGCAATTTTTATTAAAATATGCTTAATTGCTTAATTTCCTATCAAATTTATCCACAAAGATTTTCTCCTTTTGTATGTTTAATTAGGAGGAATCAAAAATGAATATTTTTACTTATATCTTCAATGTTAAAAGGTATAAATGAGACCTGCAATTTATGGACCTCTAAAGATCTAAGATTCAAAAGTAAGCAATCACTAACCTTATACTTAACTATTTTACCATCAATTTGTGCATCACTTTTTTCAGTGCTGGCAACACTTGCATTAAATCGGTTTGCATGAAGGTATTGACCTAATAGTGCTGCAATTCGATCGAAACTACTCGCAACATTAATGCACAATTTTGGATCTACAGGATCACGCATCATGCCATGTGGACATGCGCAATAAAAGTCTCCGGGAGTGTTCACGCAAGCATGTGAACAGCCGCCATTCTGTTGTTGACATTCATTTACATCTGAAAATAACTTTTTAAATTCGTTTGTTAATTTATATGTCAAAACAATAATCCATTGGACGTTTAATCCATAAAATTGCAAAATAAATTGAAAAAAAAAATTTGTATTCGACAAGACTGAACAAAAATCAATAAATCAATGAATTTTAATTAATATACTAAAGATATAAAGGGCATCTGAAATGCACAATTCTGTTTCATTACAACTATTTTTCATGTTTTATTAAATTCTATTTCTGTATTTTTAAATTTAGAAGCAAAAATCCGAAAGCTGTTTACTATCACAAATATAAAGCCTGTGCTAACTAAAATTATTTTGTCTGGAAGAATTAGCTAACCATAGCATTGTCCACGATTTAAGAAATATCCACTGGGACATAGTCCACCTTTTGAAGGCATACTACAGGGACATTCATTATCTGCAGCCGGTGGAAGAGTAGCTACTGGACGGAACGGATCTATCACTGTTCCACATGCTGGCTTTACCAAAGCTTCACCATTATTTGCACATATACATTGACATTGTGATATTGATTGATTAATCGATATTTTTTGATTTGGTGATGCCGTAGTATCTTAAATTTACTAATTAAAATTAAATCAAATAACCTTTCTTTTTTTGCAATAGTTCAGGTGCAAAACTAGTCTTCAATAGAATGGAAATAGATTCAATAAAATTTAAGAGTGTTTAGTTCGATTATTATTTAATGTCAGAAACAAAGTAACTCACCACTGTTCAATTGTACAGTTTCACATTCATTCAAATTAAGTGGAGCAGATTTGTTAGCGAATCGTTGTAATGTTTCAACACAAACAGTATAAGTGTTATCAGATGGTAAACCATCAATTTTTCGTCCAAAGCTATCACGACAGGTTGCATTCAATTTTTGCCAATATTCTATTGGCAATGATAAATCCGGTGTATACGAGATAATATAATCCTGAAAATTGAGTTTTTTGACAGTATTTAAGTTTTTTAGTAATAAAATTCCCTTTCATTCACTGTATAATGACTCATATATAAAGTTCAAAAGAATTTGAATTATTTAATAAATTAAAAATTTTTTAAATCCATAAAAATATTATAACTAAGGCAATTTTCAACTCTCCGATTACAGCAAAGAAAGAATTGCAGCAAAACATATGAACAGGATGAGCTTCACATTAATTACGTGGATTAATTGTTATCAAAAAAACCAAATATTAATATTTAATGATAACTGACTGCTTTATTATTTGTACAACAAGTCCATGAAACAAGTAGAGAATTCGGACTTAATGGTGTTACTTCAACATTAGTTGCGTCATTCATTGATATTTTTGCTATAAAAGATGATCATAACATTCAGATAATTTCATTATAAATCATTTCTGACTTCTTTTTATAAAAAAAGAAAAAAGTCGATGTAAATTTTCAGGATATAATTTAGAGAAAGATCAAAGAGTAAGCATAATTATTTTTTGTTTGAAGATGTATTGAATATAAAATTGCAAGGAACATGCAAAAGCTATTTCGTATCAGTAAACTGGAGAATGATAATTAAATCATTTTAATAATATCAAATTTTAATTATTACAACTCTTTCGAATTGGTGGTCGAGTCATGCGCGGTAATTTAGCTTTTCTCGTTACTGGCACAGAAACATAACTGCAAAAAGCATGAGCAATCCAACTTTGAAATAATTCATTTCCAATCGACCAATCTGGGAAATGAATCACCCTGTAAATTTTAATTTTATTTATGGAAACTTTATTAGAAATCATTATTAGAAGTATTTGATGCTAAGCATGTGTGAATTTAATAACATTCAATTCCTATTTTCGAATTTTTAATTCACATAGAAATATATTAAATCAGTTCTTTTTTAGATTGCAAACTGAAATATTGATTTATAAATAGCTGAAAAAAGATTAGTTGAATATGGAAGAAATGCGCAAAAACATACTTAGTAGAACTTCCCAATGATAATTCCTTTAGGAGTTCGCTAAACGGAGCTCTTACGGAAATTGCAACAACGCCATGTCCGTACTGATTTCTTGCATATTCTGCTGATTGTATCGCATCATCGCTGGAATAGAAAAAAAATTAACAATCAGTCATTCATATATTTTCATATTATTTGATGACGAAAAAGTTTCACTTGTCAAGAGCAAAATTTACAGTACCTGCTTGTACCATCTGCACTAATGATCAAAATGATCTGAATGACACCTTTTACAGCATGCTCTTTAGCCAGTAATATCGCTTCTTTAATACCTCGGCCAAGTTTGGGAGAAATTTCATCATTTCTGCAAAATTTTATATAAACTGCTAATAGAAGTGAACATATCACTTAAATTGTAAAACTGCCAGAAATTTGCATCGAGCAATAATACTGAAATGTTATTTCATGTCGAAATTCCATTTAATTTTCATGACTTTGTTTTTGTAAGAATTTTGAGTTTTTTATGATAAGACTTGCTTTTTTTGTATCAGTTTGGTGAAAATTTCATCCACCATATCAACGCCAAAATTTGCTGCCTTCAAATTGATACCATCGCTGTCAACGCTCACCAAATTCAATTGCATAAGTTTGCTTTCTGGCAAAAATCGCATTTTCAAAAAGTTAGCAACATGATTCAGTACCAAGCGAAAATCCTGAAGGACAATTTTTTAACTATCACACTGATGCATACTGAAAAAAAAATAGGGAAAAAAGGAAGAGAATAAATATAGAAAAAGGAATATAAAAAATTTCCGAAAAAGATTTATGTAATCATAAAAATTCAAATTGTTTTAAAATAGAATTGTATTACTTTCTCAGGTGATCTGGCGGTACTGTCAACGACAATCGAAAGTTGGTACGGGCGTAAGAAACCATCCTTGCAAAGTGGTATTGGAGCAAAATGTTCGGTTGTTGTTTTCCAATGGCGCATTGGCGGATGGGATATTTTGTCTTTCCTAATTGATAAAGTTCTAAAAAAGAAAAGAAAAATCATCGAATTGAGTTATTAAAGTAAGAAATTAATGAAAGACAGACAGTATTTAATTCATTTTCATCATCAATCTGCATTAATGTAAGTGAAAATGATTCTATTTCAATTCCCCCATATAAAACTCACTTGCGCTTTGTCTCAGCATACTTAACATCACGTTTCGTTGTTCGATGTGGAGTTTCTCGAATGGTAGCAGCTGCGATATCAATGCTACCACACAGTGCTTGTCCAATTTGTAGCAATTCTAATTCGTGTAATTTAGTTACACTTGGAATTGATATTATTCGTTGCTGCGTGTATTCATCACCAACCAAACGATTTAGCATCGTTTGCGCCCTTTGAGTTACATTTACAACCAACACAAAAATGCTTACATTCAGATATTCACGAAGATCATCTGCTGCGAAAGCTACATTACCACTGAAACGTATTAAATATAAAATGAAATACCAGCCAAGCGAGAATTTTTATGCTAATAAGACAATTGGATAGCGCCATGTTAGAATATAGCGCTAAGAACTGTAATAAACAGGAGAATTGAATTAATCTCATACATTAGTATTTAGTTTGTTTAAAATTACTATTGCAATTTATATCAAAATTTGTTGTAAGGAACGCCAAAGTAAACATCAATCGTTTTCATGTGATGCTTTATTGCGCATGGATTCTTCCGTATTAATTAAGATACAAACCGATTAGCACCACTTGTTACTAATATTAGAATTCTTGAGACACCATTCCGACCGTGTTGCTGGAATTGTTCTCTAGCAGCACGAAGACCTCGTAAAATAATCGGCACACCACCAAGTTTTTCACTATTTGATATATCTGCCAAAAGTTGGATTTTGTGATCGTAATAGCCAAGTGGTACAGGAACTGATGCCTTATCACTATAACTAACAGAATGATAAATATCATTATGTCTCTCCAATTGAAAGTCAAGCCAAATTTTAAGTTCCAAGTTATGCTTTAATTTGACTTGCAAAAAGATTAATTGTTAACTGTTTTATCTAATCAAATCATTGGATGTTAATAAATAAAAAATCTTTAATGCAAAAATGAATTGTAAACTATAATTGAATTGCAGTATCTGAAAAACATTTTTGCATGAAAATAATAAAAATTGATACATTTCACATGCAACGAATCTTTTCTCATTAATTTCAGGAAAATGATTTAAAATGAAAAAAGAAATTTATTACTTCTGAAGGAAAAGGTATTTCTTTGCAAAAAGATTACAATTGTGGATTTTTCTTTTCAAAATTATATTAAAAATTTAATACCTATATTCGATGAGACCAACGCGAACATTATCGTGTGATAAATTGAACGTTTCATCAATCAACATACTGATATCTTCTTTCAAATTAGCGTATTCTTCTGATGTTACTTTATCGGAGGAATCCAAGACAAATATTATATCTGCCTTAAGCTGTACTTTTAGGAAGATGAAGTATGCAAACAAACGATGGATAGACTGCGACAATCAACTGGTAAGGCATTTTTTTCTTGCAAAGCAAAGAATGTAAAAATTTGAATATTTTATTGCTAGATAAAAAAGTTTTCACCTGAAAATCAACTCGGTTGCAAATGCGTGCAGGAGTTGCAGCTCGTATTTCGGTTTGTCTTGTTGGCCAAGTACCATCTCTACTTGTTTTATCCTGTTTTTGTGGCAATAACTAGAATAGTAAGTAATAATAGACATCTATCTATGGCATTCAAATATTTGAAAACTTCGACTTCATTAGAATATTTGAAAGGCATGAAAAAGAAAAACAATATTCTCTAATTGTTTATAAAATTATCAAACACAGTAGGAATATTCTCGGGGTACATAAAATACGCCACTTCAACATGGCTGATCAATGCAGTCCTGAATACTTTTTGAGCCAAGAAAAAAATCAAAAATAGGATTTTAAAATGGATTTTTTGCAAATATCGCCAAACCTTGCACAACTCATCCACAAATGGATGCAGAATTGTTGAATTTACATCATTCCATTTATCGATGGCAATAATTCGATGTGGATTTGATTCACCAACAATTGCCAAATTTTGTGCATTGTCACCTTCATTTCCAACATCAACCAAGAATATATGAGCTTTTGCATCATCTCGTAGAAGACGAGCATTCTCTTTCAAGTCACCCCTTAAAGTTCGAAATTGGAAAAGCATGTTTTGTTTTCTACCACTGAAATCAATCTTTATAAAACTTTTATTTGTTTGATTCTTTCATATGAAATAAATTTCCAGGCTTATTTACGTAGATGTGAATGAATTTTCCAATTTAATAAAAATCGTACCAGAAATAATGGTAATGAAAAATGATACTCAAAGATTAATATATGAGAGTTTAATACCAAGGTAAGCATTGATAATACCTGAACCGTCCATTTGAAAATATAATTACAATTCGAGGAATATCTTTGGATCCGAAAATAAGGAATTCTCCAGCAGTATCAAGCAAAGCTTGACCAAGATTAGCTTCACCACGCATACGCCTAGTCTCACTAATTCTCGATAGAAGCTCAGTCTTACTATTGTAGTCACCCAGTGATATCGGAATTTCGACCTGAAATTGTGCAATTTGAAGATCGAATAACACAGATCATTTTTATGCTTAATCATTTTTTAATAAAAATGCATAAAGAATGTATAAAAACAGCAAAATAAATTTATCAAGATTTTAAGATTTGGTATGACCAACCTTATCACCATATTTCACCACACCAACACGAACATAATTGCGCTGTAGGTTGAAATAATTAACTAAGAAATTCTTGATGAAATCCTTCATAATCCTATGATCAATAACCCTGATGCTGCTCGATGAATCCAAGATGAGTATCATGTCAACATTTGAACTGACCACGCAATATGATGATGGAGTGGTCCAAGTGCCAATTCTGCAGCCAAAAAAATTTTAATTACTTTACTTCCAAGTATATGATCGAATTCGTTTTAACGCAATGTGTATTATGATTAGCAAGTGCTCATATAGCACACTTATAGTAATAATAAATAATTTATTGAGCATATTTCTTGCCAGTAAAAGATTGACATTCTTACGAATTTTCATTCCCATTATCTTTCCTAATTACTCAAACTTATTTAGAGCTTAAGTTTAATAAAAATTAACTGTAAATTACAAATGATACAATCTATCTACCCGGATGATGTTAATGAATGATATCTTGTTCTTGTTTTCATATTCCACATGTCGTTCCTATGATCATCCTCTGAAAATAATGTTATAACCATGAACAGATCCAGATCTATCTCTGCTATTTAATTGAACTTAAAGATCGTCATGATCTATTTGTAATAAATGATCATCACCACCAACGCTAGCGAAAGTTAGTTTTTCTTTTTGAGGTTCATATGGATAAAAATATTTGTAAATTTGATCGATATGAACCAAGCTTTCCCGTTATTACCAAAGCATCATTATCATCAACAGATTTGGACGACCATCAGGCAACGGCAAGGAAGTAGTTATTGATTCTGAATGAATCTAAAATGTCTTCAAATCCATTACTGAATATAAGAAATTGCATCCCTATTAGTAACATAACTTACCGGTCAATTTTTTCTTTGAAATATGATAACGTCCACTGGTATCAGTTGCAAGAACTGAACTTCTTTCGCTATTCAATGGTTCGCCGTAAGAATTAGTTGGTACTGGTTCACCATCCGCATTGATATATGCACCAGTTTCATCTGCTGGAAGAATCTTACCATTCTCACCAAATATTTGATAAGTAAGCTTTCTACTATCAGTTGGTCGATATTTATTTTTCAATGCAGATGTTGGATAAATATGCCGATTACCACTATCCACTGATATCAGTTTACCATCAGAATTATTTTATCCTCATTATTTCAATTATTATTTTATCCTCATTATTTCAATAATGAGGATAAAATAATAATTGAAATAATGTTATTTTATCCTCACTATTTCAATTATTTTATCCTCATTGATGGTTCTCACTTGTTGTGTATCATAATCTGAATTGAAACTATGATGATTTATCTGTATTAGTTATCATAGGTTCAACAATTGAGTGTAGGATACCTTTTCCGTTGATTGGTAAAACTCCCATAACTTCTTGTCCATCAACTGATAAAGGCAATCCATTGGCATGCAATGGTCTTCCAAATCGATCAGTTGGAATCAGTCGACTATCTAAATCTGCAATAATATTATTAGCATCAGTTATCATTTATGCCTCTTAACTGCTTAGAAAATACGTAGCTGGCTATTATTTGTTGATGATGCCTGAGAATATTAATCTTTGTAACGATGTCAGTACTGGTCAACTGATACCGGACATCCTACTAATCGATTGGGTGTCAGAATTGCCCATCAGCAAAAGCTCAATTTCTGGTCTATTAATCAGGCTACATGTTGAGAGAGCTCATGTAAGTCATCTGTTTCTGCACTGCATCATCATTTATTGTAATTAATTGACAAACATTTTCCGACTAAATCAACCAGAATTGCATAATCAATGATTGAGTTAAATGCTTATTAAAGCATCAAGTCGCAACAATGCACTTCTTTAATCACTGTCAAAAATTTTTCATTTAGCATCACTTGTACCATCCGCAGATATAGTTAGAGATTTTTCAGCAGAGCCAATTTGCTGATAACAGGTGAAGATTGATGAATTCTTTGGTAGTAATCAATCGACATTTCCACTTTATTTGTTACTACTGGCTTACATAATCTCTCAACAGATCGTCCAGTACTATCTGTTGAAAGAAGTTCGCCATATGAATTTAAAAATGAATATGTGGCACGACCATTCTCATCTATTATTATTCTAATCAACATTTCTTCCTTTTTCATTTTACGTTGATTTTAATCATTTCTGGATAATGAAGAGCTTTTTGAGATAGAGGATTTACTACCACAACCTGTTGATTTGCCTGATTAGAAGGAAGTATACGTTCACTATCAACTCCAGGATATTGATAATCACTGGTTACATCTGTTGGTAGTAGATGACTAGCAATGAGTAAGTCAGATTTATCGGTTGTCCAAAATAATAACTGTTGCATTTACGCTATTTGTCGGTAAAAGTTCGTTGTCAGGATCTATAACTGAATAAAAGATTGGCCTACTTTATTCGTCGGAAATATGCCTATGACGTTCTATCTCCATCTGTCGGTAGTTGCGAACTATCCATGTCAACAAGTTGTTCGACATTACTCATCAGTGTGCTAACTTACCATCAGATACTACGTCAGTAGATAGTGATCGACCTTCCATCGCTTTTGCCGGTAATTTCATTTCAGAATCTGCTGATAGCAGCATTCTGTCTGATTCGTGCTTCGGATAAATGTGAAATCCCTGGTCATCCGTCGGAACCAATGTTCCTGACTCATCAGTCGGTAATAAGCTTTCGTCGACTTCGAGACTGTTGATATGATTTTCTGATAAAATTTTTTTAGTTACTCCTAATAAGAATTCGCCGCTAGAATTAGTCGCGAGTGCTATACCATTAGTACCAATTACTCTTCCATATTTATCCGTCGGAATCACTTTTCCACTAGGATCAACGAATGCGCCATTTTCATCAGTTAGCAATGGTTTTTCGGAATTATCAAATATTCCTGGATTATCGTAACCGCCGTGGTTGGTGCCAGAACTATCATTTGGTAAAGGATTTCCATTTAGACCAATAATCGGATAAACTGCATGATCATTACCAACAATATTTTCTGATAATACTCTCGCTATTTCTTTTTCAGCCAACAGGAACCATCCATTAGTGTCGGTTGGAAACGCTGATCCATTTACTCCAAGCAGTTTTCCACTTTCATTGATTGGTATCAATTGTCCAGAATTGTCGGTGACTCTTCCGATTCTGTCCGTTGGTAAAAGTTGGCCATCAGATCCCCTAACCGGATATATTGGCCGATTGTTTGCATCTGTTGGTGATGGAATATCCTGAATTCGAAGTGCAGGATATAAATAGCGATCTTGATCGTCTTTTGATAAGTATCTGCTATCTGCACCGATTGAGATGCCATCATTATCAAATGAATCGGTCGGGGTGCCAGAACTATCAATAACATGTAGCTGTCCATTTTGATCAACAAACGAATGCATCAAGTGACCATTTTCATCTCTTAACAAGTCAACTTTCATGTTATCTTTCAATTCACCTGAAAATGAAAATAACACATTACACAACAAATGATTGAGAATAGAGTAAAAAATCACCTAACTTTTATCATTTTGTCAAATCAATCATTTTAGTCCTTTTTATCATAAAAAAATTGAAATCGAGGTGACTAGACTAGCAATGGGTTAGAAGATTGGAAAAATCATTTCAAAAAGATATTTAAGAGCTCTGTGTTACGATCGTCAGGAGATCTTCCATAAGGATATCCTAACAATATCAAGGAGAAAATTATGATTTAATAATAGTTTAAAGTCATGTCGGAACATCTAATATCAATATTTAAAATTAATATATTAATCGCAAATAGTAATGTATTCGTTTAAATTCTTTAGTTCGGTCAAAGCATTCGATACAGGATGCAATAATGATAATACTAACGATCAACTGATTAAGATAAGCTAACCATTAGGCTTTCTAATTTGTGCCAGATGACTTTTCATCAACATTAAGCACATATCGCTTCGTAATTTCTTGATTTCTTTATCATTCTCCAATCGGTGCCATTGACTTGACTCAAGTGATAGGATTGAAATAGTTTTGTTCATTTTCAAGTAATTAGCAACTATTTGCGCATCTTTGCTAAAAATTAAGACTTATTTTATATTTTAGATTTTAGAGAATTGCTAAAAGAAATAGTAAATAGTATCAACTAATTATAGCCATTGAAGACGATGATAATGTTTAGTGTTGCTAGTAATGATAGTTGTAATAACATATTTATTATAATAACAACACAGACAGCTATATAATGTCTCCATCATTGTAATTTTGAAAAGAAATTAAATCCGCTAATAGTTCCGAGTGATTACTATTTGTGAAAAGATTTTGATAAAAATTGCAAAGAAAAAGAACAAATCTATGGGAGATCAAGATAATTATATAGAAATAAAGTTATCAATAATTTAAATAACAAACCTGAGTGGAGTTGTGAAAATATGTACGATTAATTCTTCATTCTCATTGTCATATTTTTCACGGAAGAGTTGAAGGGCAGTTCTGAATGCATGTTCATCACTTGATGCTGCACCACCAATAAATGGTAAACTGAGAATGGATTCTTTCAAGTCGTTGTAGCTCTGATAATTTCCAATATCCAGATTAATATCCACTGTACTTCCATAGGAAATCATGCCAACTTTAGCAATGCTCCAATTAATGTTCTTTTTGATAAAATCTAACAACGAAAGTTTGATTTTATTAAGGTTTGCTCCTGTAGCATTTGAAGATTCCACTATAAAAATGATATTTACAGATTCTTCAACTTTATCACATGCTGAGACTTCTGCCAAAAGTTTCGATTCCTGTAAAGCAGTTCCATCTGGCATGTAATCAGATACATATCGTCCATGATGATCAATCGGCATCAACGAACCATCTCGATCAACGAGTTGTTTTGAAGTATCTGTAGGTACTGCACTAACATCTGCATATATTGCCATATTGCCATATTTGTTGGTAGGTAAGAGTCTTCCGAACAAGTCAACCGCAGTTACTTTTTGCTCTTTTGGTATCTGATCTAGTTCTACTTTGGCACCAATTGGTTTATCACCTTGGTCTACTTCAATTGGTAACGACTTACTTTGACTATTGATAAACTTCCAACACGTGGCTTACTAATTACAACCTCGAAATAGTCTTGGTTATATTCATTCGATTGTATCACTTCATTAGCTACAGGGTAAAATGGCTTTCCGTGGAAGTTAGTATCAATCACGGAAGCATCTGGTATCAATGGCAAACCATTTTTGCTGGTTGGTAGCAACTTACTATTTTCTCTTACTATCGGATAAACTAATCTTATATTTGAATCATTGCGTGAAAACTTACCACTATGGCTATTTTTTGGATAAACGAATCCTCCTGCGCCATTGGTTGGCAGCGGTTCTTCATCAGGCCCTAGAGGTTTTTCACTATCATCACGTCCAATCGCCCGTCCAACACTATTTACGTAAATATCTGAAACGTCCATTGGTGATAAAATATTATCTGGATCGATAACTGGATATAAAAACGGCTGAACAGAATCTGTTGCATCTGTCGTTTTTTCTGTCCTCTTTGCCATAATGATGTTATCATCACGTTTCAGTGAATAGGGCAAGGATTCTTGGGAGTCACTATGTCGTCCAGCCAAATTCGCGGCAATCGGTTCTTTATTCATGTCTATGGATACATCATTTCGATTAGTTGGCAACGGTTTCCCATCAATATCGACTGCATTCCATTCTTTTTTATCATCAGTAGATAAATGCACACCATTGGTATCAAGATCCTGATGAAGAGTAGCTCCAGATTCATCTGTCGGCAATGGCCTCCTTTCTGGACTAATTGGTTTACCGTAATCGTCAAATTTAATTATCCGTCCAAGCTTATTCATCGCTAAACCATTTTCATTTACGGGAAGCAATCTACCACTAGAATCTTTTGCAGGATATATGACATGACCGTATTTATCGGTAGCCAAGAAAATTTGTTCTCTAGTTGGTACTACTACGATATTACTAAGTTCATCGGTCGGTAGTGGTAAACTGACGAATTTCTGGAATCTTTCAGATTTTGGCCTTGGAGATACTTTATTTATTGGGATGAAAATCCTTCCAAGCAAACACTCCTTTTCAATCGTTTTAGCAATAGAATTAGCATGAAGTTCTTCCCAGGAATCTACCAAAATGTATGATTTAGTCCAGTCTCTAATTTCTTCTTCAAATTCTCTACTGCCAATAACAAGCATTGGAATGATATTGTCTTTAAAACGATCCTCCGGATATCTAAAATATTGAAAAATATATTTGATTCTTTTTCAATCTAACGAAAAATAAAACAGTTTCCAAGGTCTCTTATTAGGAAAAACCATTAAGGAATGAGATGTTTTGCAAAAAAAAAAAAATGAAACAAAATGTGAAATGACAATGAAGCTTACATATCTCGTCCATCAGTTATTACTATCATCAACTTGCCAGCATTCTCACGACCGAACGACACAAATTGTTGTTTGGCAGCATTGATTCCAATAATCAGCCTGGGATGCTCTTTGATATCAATTCTAACTTGGCTTAACTCCTCCAATAGCTCCGTTTTCTCGTTATAACCGCCCAATGTAATTGGTACCTCAGCAGTTCCACTATATTTTACCAGAGCAAATTGTGTTACATCCGGTGCAAGGTCAAAGTATTCATCCACAAGATTCTGAATTACTTTCTTTATATGCTCAAAATTGTCATGGTTCAGAGCATCTACATTAATTACTACTGCAATATCCATAACACCCATATGTGTGTTACAATTTTTCCTTCCATAAACAACATTTCCTTGAGAATCCATTGGTAATATTACACCATTTTCATCCAGTGGTCGTCCAACACTGTTAGTTGGAATCGGATGCCCTTTAGGATCAAGTGCCAGTCCTTCATCGTTTGTTGCCAGAAGTTCGCCATCATATCCGATAACCGGATAAATTGGACGATGTTCTCGGTCCGTCGGATATGGTCCGCCATCTGGCTTTATGTATCTGCCATATTCGTCTGTTGGCAGGACGCCATCATCAGGTTCTGGAAATTGGACTTTTTCACGTGTTTCTTCGCTGATCAGTTGGCCGTCCTCGTCAGTTGGTAATGGATAAAAATCGGGACCAATAACAATGTCACTTTGATTTGTTGGTAAAAGTTTTCCTTTCATATCTATTTTCAATTTTTCTTTTTCCGTTAACAGCGTAGACTTGTGCTGTGTAGTATCAAAAATGTAATGACCTATAGCAGTGGTAGGTAACACTATTCCATCTGCAGAAACAGGTTTCCCTTCTTCATTTTCAGCAATCGGATATCCTTCAGGATTCAAGAAATTACCGGTTTCGTCCGTTGGTAGTATTTGATTTTTTTCATCTAAAATCTGATATGATTTTCTTACTGTCGGAACTTTTGCTATTGTGAAAGTACCGCGTTCGTCGGTAGGTAGTACAACACTTTGTCCATCCATCGTCATCCCTGTTGATTCTGTTGTAATTATTAAACCATCTTTTCCCACATAGAAACCGTCTTCATTGGTTGGTAGTGGACGTCCGAAATCATCTTCCACTTCGCTCGGATATTTTATTTTACCTCGATACACGTAGTTACCAGAATCATCAGTAGAAAGTGGTTGACCATCTGGCCCGATCAATCTACCAGCATTATCTGGTTGGAGAGGATGATTGGGTGCTAACAAGTATCGACCAAGTTCATCAGTCGGTAATGGTCTACCTTCTTCATCAACAACCTTTTTCGTTCCAATATAAATAAAGCGTCTTTCATCATCTGTTGGAAGCTGTTTACCGTTTGGTCCTATTGGTTTTCCAAGCCTATTTGTTGGCAGTGGTTCACCATCTGGCCCAATAACGGCACCACTTGAATCTGTAGCAAGAAGATGACCATCTGGACCAATTACAGGATATAAAGCTCGACCGATTTTATCCGTAGGTAGTATTCTTCCCATAATATCCACATCCGGAAAAATGTAATTCCCTTTTGAATCTGTTGGCAAAACGTTACCATCAGGATCAATGGGAAGATGATTCTCATTGAGTTCCACTGGGATACCATTTTTGGTAATGTGAGCTCCACTATCATCTTTATCTAAAAGTTTACCATATGTATCCACAATCGGATAGACGATATGACCGTATTCATTCGTTGCAAATGTCGATAACGGTTTCTCAGGCGGTAAATATATAACTCGACCCATTTCATCAGTAGGAAGCATTGACGCATCCGGTCCAACAGGTTTCCCAGCAGCGTTTGTTGGTACTGGAATGCCATCCAATCCGATGACGAATCCACCCTCCGTAGTTGGTAATAATTCTCCGTTTGGTCCAATTACAGGATAAATTGGTCTGCCATGTGAATCAGTTGGTAGTACTGAACCATCAGGTAATTGTACTGGATATATAATGTTATTGTAAATATCTGTCGGCATAGGTTTTCCATCTTTATCCAGCGGCCATCCATTCTCGTCTGTCAGCAAAAGTTTTCCATCAGGTCCAAATATTGAACCATCACTACTGGTCGGCAAAGGTGCTCCATCAGGTCCTATAACTATTCTTCCACCTGTTGCTGGTATACCATCTGCAAGATAATGAAGGTTTCTCTCAGCATCAATTGCCAATGGTTTACCATCGTTATCCACGGGTACACCAGCAGCATTTGTTGGTATCGGTTTGCCATTTTTATCAATAGGACGACCGTCCTCATTCGTTGGTAACGGTACCATATCGTGACCCATAACTGAATAAATTGGCCTTCCAACTTTATCTGTAGGCATCGGTTCAACATTCAGACCACCTGCCGGAAATATAAAAACTCCCGCTTTATCACGTGGCAAAGGACGTCCTCTACTATCCACCGGGATACCATATTCATTTGTAGGAATCGGATGTCCGGAGGGATCAACAACATTACCGTCGCCATCCTGATGTAAAAACTTTCCATCTGGACCAATGATCGGATAAACTTGTTTTCCGACTTCAGCTGGCAGGAAATGACCATCAACTTCCTCCAATGGATAAACAAACCCACCAGTATCGGTTTGTTGCAGTCGCTGTCCATATCGATCAACCGGAATACCAGCAGCATTTGTTGGAATTGGTTTTCCTTGCTTGTCCAAAATTATTCCATCAGGACCTCTCGGCAAAGGTTCACCATCAGGGCCAATAACATCATAAATAGGTCGTCCATAACTATCAGTCGGAGGTAATGGGACATCCAATCCACCAGCTGGATAGATTACATTTCCGCTTCTATCTGTAGGCAGTGGTTCTCCGCGATTGTTCACTGGAACACCAGCAGCATTTGTTGGAATTGG